GTGTATTCAGAGTGAGATGGAATGGGAAAGACAGCGAGAATTCTACTTTATTAATTGATTTGGATGAGTATAATAAATTATAATAAATTATAATTATAATAAAATTATTTTTTACAAAACCCCTCTTCCAACCTGTAGCAATTTTTCCCATAATTATAATTATAAAATATTTAAATTATATGCAAGAACCAGCCCTGGTATAGTCAAGCAGTAAATATAATAATTATTTACTTCGTTATGCATAATTTAATTTAAAACATCAAACAAAATTCGCACAAATGTTCCCATTAAACGCTTTGCGAATTTTTACCTATTGTAGTCTCGCCAGAAGGTGTTAATTTTTTGCACATATTTCAAAGAATAGACCAAAGCCATGTAGAGGCCATATTTCTAGCATTAGTTGAATTCGAACGTTAAATTACTATTATTCATAACTGAGTTAAAGAAATGTAATAAATTAATAATGTCAGCTATTAAAAAACAAATAAATATTATATATTTTCTAATATTAATTAATATTTGCAATTGCAAACTTCCGCTTATTTATCACGGCAGTGAGTATTACTCTTAAAAATATGCGAAAGACTTTAGAACTAATCATTTCCTGTTCAGAGGGTTCTTTACAGTTTGTCTGCGGTTTTGGTGTACCAGTTGAAGAATTACAATTCGAGACTGTTCTTACGGGTATTGTCTTCAAGAGTACACATATATTACCTTCGACAGTGTTCGCTTTAAGAAATCACACTACACATCCCATTACAGAACCCTATAAAATAAGAACAAATGTATCTAAAAATTTTGATTTCTTTGACATGAAGAGAGAATATAAGAATTCAAATCTAAATTATATATCAAAATATGCAAAGTATCGTTGGTTAATTTATAAAGTTTTGGAGAAATTTTCAGAGAAGTAACAATGTGAAGAAATATATGTAAATAAACTATATAAAGTATACTCTATCGTTTTAGTTATGGATATGCAGGAAGAACTTGTGTTTTAAGAACGATTTGTGAAGCGGCGAATGCACCATTTCATTATAGCAGTGGACTTTTAAGTGAAATACTACATATAATACTAACGTGAGTATTGTGAGAATAATAGAACGGATTAAAAGTGGTATGAAGCATTATATTGAAGAGAGTGTAATTATATAGATGAGATTTTATACCGAAGAGCAGTCGTTTATAGTCCATTGATTGCTTCTTTGTTAAAGAAAATTAGACGATATAGAGCGGTTTCAAAAAGTAGTGAACTACAACAACAAAAATTTTTTTCAAATTTTTTTTATTTAATCAAATTTCTTGTCTGATCATACAGCTATTGCGAGTATTACCAAATACTTGAGTTGAACTGCCAAATTCGAAGCTCAGACTCAGTGTTCATTAATCAACTGACACAAACTCAGTATTAAAGTAAAAATAGTCATATTGACTATTGAGTACTGTCGTATTCACGTTAAAATCAAATTCATCTGTATGCAATTTGGCCACACACCAATAGAAGAAAATCAAACTCTCTAATAGAGATGCTCCGTAGACATATCAGTCTTATAGTAGGTTTACTTACAGATCATTTTATTCTAGGTAATAATCATATCTGCCGCACCTGTGCTGAGGACGATGAAAATGCTTCCCACCTGCTTTGTTTCTGTCCGTCACATACGCGACGCTGCCTTAACACTTTAGGGGATTTCTTTTTTGTCTATCTTGGCGAACTTATAGGACCTTCTTTTGAATAGCATCATAGGCCTTGCCAAAGATTCTAGTTGGTTTTAACCCTTTGTTTTTAATAATACCATAGCACAATGGGTATAACTTAAACTAACCTAATCTAGTATAAAACATACATATAGTTGGTTCACCCTAATACAAATTCTCTTAGAATGTATACTGACATTGAAGGCAATATAAGGTTCTGTTATGAGACATTAAAAAATCTTAACAAAATATTTTAGTTAAAACTATACTAATTTTATTTATAATTATTAAAGACACTGTCTTTTTTTTCGTTTATTTCAGACCCTCTACATCAGCTGACGAACTAACAACACACGCCGACAATGAATACTACCACGCAGAACAGATAGGTCGATTGGGTGGTCCATGTAATGAGATTTTTAAGGAATGTACCAAATCAATTTTAACACAATTTTCACAAGTCTTCCATTTTTCATAGCAAACAAATATTTACTAAATTTAATTATTTTTAATAAACACAACAGTAAATATATTTATATATATACTATATATACTATATATATATAATATATATACTTATATATACGCATATTTAAAATTATTTGTGTGCAATTTTCAAAACAGAAAGTAAACATTTTTCAGAATGTTTAGTCATTTCGTTAGAGAATATATTTTGCATATCAATGGATTTATGGAGAGGTGGGCGATTTCAAAATTCTAAGTTAAAATAGTTTGGCAAAGTTCGCTAATTATGTTCGATTTTCTCAAAGCCCAAGAAAATGCATCAATCAAATAAAAAAGTTCTATTCAAAAAAAAAAGAAATCTTTTTGATCTACATTTCAGAGATGTAGTGTCCAAAATGGTGTCACAATAAAATAAATAGAAATTTGACTTCGTAATTGAAAATAGTTTTATATACTAAAATTGTATGTTGGTATCTGTAGACTCTGGACCTCTAGTTGGAAATATTTTTATATATTGCACTGAAATATTAATTGAGTATCTGTAGAGAGTCGACTGGTGTTTGCTTCATTCCTTAATCTCACAGCTGTACTATATTGAACCACATCATACTTTATTGTGTGACTTTATTATACCACTATATATCATAAAATATCATGCTATACTAAACCAGAGTATACCATGAAATCTATATGAATATATACTTAGATAAAACTATAAGCTTAAGTCAAAAAAATTAGTTAATTACACCCACATCGGATAGTATGACTCTGAAGTAGTCGATTTCTAATATAGTATATCTCATACAAATGTCATTAATAATCTTCTTTCTCTCTCTTTTACGATTATTCACATCCTAATCATCTGTGTGTTTCCAAATAAAATTATTCAATTTTGAATTTAAAAAATTTATATAAATACTATATCAAGAAAGTACTGGAACCACAAAAACTGTAGTTGAAGTATATATTATTAATTTTCTTTAAAAATCACATAGAAATTAATAACAAACTTGGAATGAACCTTAGATTTTACTAATTTGATACAGCAAAGTCTTTTAAACTTTCAGATAAATGTGTTTTTTCAAGCCTAAATGACTGATAGTACAAAAAATTAACTAAAAATTGTTACTAAAAATTGATTCTTCAATCTATTGTCTATAATGTCATAATACAACTTTTCTCCGACACGTAGACGGTACTTGCAGCCCTTAAATCTAAATATATATATTTTAATCAGACGAGACAGCAGTTAGAAACATCATACAAAAACATTATTGGAAATTACAAAGGGGTTAAGAGCCCAGTGTTCATATCATTTTCTATAGATGGTTGTTAAGAAAGAAAAAAAAATTCAATGTGCTACTCTGCCACTGTTCTCCGTATGAAAAAAGAAATCTAATATTTCTAGGTTCAACCTTTAAAAAAAAAACTTAACTAAAACTACAAATCTACTTATTAGAGACATACTAAAGTAAATTAAAAGTTATCTCTGGGTCTATAAAAAGTAGATAGCACTCACAAAATTAGTAAAGTGTAGATAATAGTTTTAAAACTGAAGATAATATCGCAGCATTATAAATGGTAGTTGCTTATTTAAGTTAATAAAAACGTCATTGGTTTTATAAAAATTAAGAAAAATAAGAATTAAGTTTGAGACTTAGGAATTTTGTAGTAACACCAAAAAATATTTATTATCCAAGAAATAATATAAGTCCTGTGTTTATAATTGATACACATATAAATACTACATAACTTCACCTATTTGCTTAAGTTGGTTATTTTGATTATTTTGTTATAAATCATGTCTATTTTTTTTAATAACTGTTAACTTTTAAGTTTTTCAAATA